AAAATATAAATAGTTAATTTTCCTTCTGTTCAGCCTGGGAATTCAGATTCAAGTTTAGACTGGAAAATCAGAAGGAAATTCAAAGATACTCTGCTTTCTTGATGACTGCAGCTGCTACCTGAACACAGAGATTCCCTGTAGATCTACGAACAAGGACTTCCAGAAACTGATAAAGATGAAGAAAACTCTGGAAGACCTTCTTGTACCTGCCACCGCCTGCCTAGTTCATTGGATTACTTTCAAATCTCAGGCACTACGTGACTCTTCCCCGTTGGCAGGAGGAGAAAATAGACTCCCTGACTGGACATGCAGAAAATGAACGGGGCCACCGCAGCTTTGGGGAGGGCAAACTGCTCCACAGGCACCTCCACACAAAGCCACGTCCCCAGGGGCTTGCCCTTCTCTAATTTTGTTCCCAAAGCATCCCTTTTTGGTGACTGTCATAAAGAGGATGGTGGGCTAGGCAGGGCTTGGGGTAGGCTGCTCTTATGCACGTGCAATCCCAAATAATGCAGTAAATTAAGCACCTGGATGAGTTACTCGATTGCTCGGTGCACTCCCAGTGCAGGGCTGTTTTATTGCACAATGGGACTTGGAGAAAACTAGTTGGTTAAATGACATTTTTATGAAATATAATGAGTGATACTTAATGAGATTTTCTTCCGAAGTAGAAAAGCCCAAGGTTTTCATCCTCCATTATAATGGCTGAATTTTCTGTGCTACAGTAGTAAATGGGACTCAGAGAGCTTTTTATGCCAACATCGTTTCAAAGCAAGTTCAAGATGTAAGTGGCAGGAGGTGATCAATCAGCTTCTGGTGGTTGGAGGTCCTGGGCTGGAGGTGTTCTCACTGTCACCACTGCAAGGGGCCCAGGGGACACAGGCTCCTCATTCTCCCAGGAAAGGAGCATTTTGTACGGCTCAGTAGCACCTGGCATAGTGGCACGTCAATACTTGGCATCATCAGCAGCAAAAATATTAGTAATTCGTAACTGCGTGGTGTGCCTAGAAATGGCTTTTACTGCTTGGCTCGTGGGTTTGGCAGAAAGTTCGCTTTCCGTGCCCAATAGTAGCCATTCCCAGGCCTGAAAAATGTGTAATTGGACAGCAACAACAAATTCACCCACATGTTATTTCATATTATTAGGCCGGGTTGCGCAGTCCAGGCACCCAGTAACATGCATGGCTAGCTCCTCGCTGCCGAGCGTGGCTCTCGGATCGGTTCAGCCATCCCAGAGCTGATGAAATTGCAGCTTCAAAGGATGCCACGTCCAGGGCCACCGCGACACATGGCCTCTTCGCTGTTTTGCTTGTCATCTTGGTGGAGACAGTGGTTTGAACAGGGCCTAGAGGAGAGGAAGAAACGGGGAGCTCTTCAGCACGGGCGAGGCCAGGCACCGTGTTTAGCGATGTTGCAAACCAGTTGCTTTTTCAACGGCCCATAAAGAGAAGGCGGCTTGGGTGGGAAGGGAGACGCACGGGTTTACAGCTGTGACTCTGGTTTCTGTCCTCCCATTTCGGATCAGGTTAAGCCCCTGGGACCAGAGTTGGGGTTTCCCTGGTGTGCCCACTGCTGGGGTCCCTTGGGGTGTCACCGTGGGGTCCCCCCTTGCCGTGGAGACGCAGGGGGTTGGCAGGGCAGGAGGGAGCTGAGTGAGGCTGATGGGGACAAACCTCGGTGGTGGGAGCAGGGTCCGTCTCGGCTCCATTTCTTGGGGCTGTGAGTGTTTTTGCTGGTGGGCACGGGCAGCTCTGTGCCAGAGGTGGGCTGGGGGGACAGGGCAGCGTGTGTGCCCCCACAGGGTGTGGGCATGGGGAGAAGGGCTGGTCCGATGATGGGCTGTGCATTGCTGTTGCATTTCCCGGGAGATGCTATAAACCATGTTCAGGCACACCAAAAATGGAAGGTGCCTTTTTTTTTGCCAGAGGCATTGCCACATGGTGCTGCCTGCACTCCCCTGCCCGCATTGCCCAGCTGCCCTCACCTTCCTGCCCCATACGCACGCATGCGGCAGGCCCAGCAATCGAGGGGAGGCGGGGAAGCGGGCTCATTTTCCAAAGCTTTTTCTTAGGCAAAGGGGGCTCATGGGGTGCTGAGCCCAGCTGCAAGCCTGGGTGCAGAGAGACGTGGGTCTCCTTAGGCCCTGGTGCCCGCGGCAGCCCCTGCCCAGGGGCTTGAGGAGAGGGGGTACCGGCACGGGGGTCCTCTGCGTACGTGTGGGAGCGATTTCAAGAGTGGCGCTTGACCCAAAGTCTTTGCTCAGGGGTACGGTAGAGGGAGTCCATTTGGGGCCTCCAGAAGGACTTGCAATCCAGGAATGCATAATGATAACGATGATGAAAATGAAGCAGAGCTGGCCCGCCGGAGCTGCCCCGCCGCGGCGTTGCCCTCCACCCTG